TGTCGACGATCATCAAATTGTCGACGTTTAATGTGACCAAACCATCTAAGACGACTTTCTCTAATTTTGTTCAACACCAACCCTATCACGAATATATCACGAATATATTCATTTCACATTTTGTCCGTCACAGGAGCAACACCAACCCTAATTGTAAGCTTTTTCTAAATCAATAAAAATCATATGTGGAACCTCTATATTATCTCCGAACTTCTCCATCAAACCGCTCAATAAATGTATAGCTTTCATGGTAGACTTGCCCGACATAAATCCAAACTGAAGATAATATTCATAATACGTCTTAACATATGTTCAATTACCCTCTCTTATAATTTTAAATTATAACACATCAACTTAATTCCTCTATAATTTGCACTCTTGTGCATCCCCTTTATTCTTGAAAAAGGGGACCAAAATACTCTTCCTCCACTCAGACATCTTTTTATTTTTTAAATAATATTAAAGAGTTTAGTAGCCAAGAAACTCTCAAATCTCCTAAATACTTCCACACTTCAATTGGGATATCATCAGATCCTACAGACTTTCCACCCTTAGCTTTCTTTAAAGCCTCATCAACTTCTTTTTTACTAATGCGATGGTAAAAATGAAACACTTTATTATTATTGACGACATTAAGATCACTAAAATTGATCGTATTTTTCGAAACGTCATTAAAAAGTTTATTAAAATAACTCTCCCACCTATTTTGAATATCTTTTTCTAAGAAAAAACACTTTTGATTTTCATCTTTAATATACTTTACTTGAGTTAAATTTTTATTTTTATTTTTCTCTTTGTTTGGCCAGTTTATATATATATTTTTCACCCTCCTTAGTATCTAATATATTATAAAGATTATTAAATGCAGAATTTTTAGCATTACAAATTGTTCTCTTTCCCCATGAACTGTTTGATATTTTTCTAGTTCTTTAAGCTTTTACATTTAAAACAATTTTAATAACATGGCTTCTTTTATTTTATCTTTTCTTGTACATTATTATTCCACCACCAACTATTTTTATTTATAAAAATTTTTTCTTTTGATTATCCAAGTACAATTTTTGTCACTTGTTTAATAGTGTTTGTTGTCAAAAAAGCTCGTTGTTCGCGAACAGTTCGTGTTCGGTTCGTCAATGAGTTCGTGTTCGATTCGTTCGATAAGTAAACGAGACAAACGCGAACAAATTTTTTTCGTTCGGTTAGTTAAACGAACCAAACACGAACAGTGATGCGTTCGTTCGTGTTCGAATCGTTATTGTTTGAAATATAAAATAATATAAAATAATTATATATAAAAAATTTATTATATTTTAAAACATTAAATTTTATAAATTATAATATATAATAAAATAATAATAATAATAATAATATATTAATATATAGTAGTAATATACTAATATAGATATTGTATATTTATATAATATAAGTTATATAATTAATATATAATATTATTTTTATATATTAATATTAGGGATGTCAAACTGGCGCGTCGTTCGCGAACAGCTCGTGTTCGGCTCGTTCGTTAAGATACGAACACGAGCTTATTTCAAACAAACTAAATTTTAAACGAACCGAACACAAACACAAGCTTTGTTCGTTCGTGTTCGGTTCGTTTACACCCCTAATTTTATCCCACATAAAATGTGATTCTTCATGAACATCCTAAATTTTGAAATCTGAAATTTTACTCATAAAAATAATTTTATGTGTCTTTAGGTACCCCATCTCTACGACGTTAATTCCTAGTATTCTTTATTTTACAACTCTTCATCTTAAAATCTAAAACTAACAATCAATGTTGAGTATTTAAATCCTCACTTGGAATGACCTTACAATCTTTACATTCTTGACTATCTCTTCCTCTCATAAAAAAATAATCAATGTGTTTTATTAGACACATTCTTATAAGTAATAATATGCTCAACTCTTTTCTTGAATAAAGTATTGGCAATAAAAAAATCATATGCTAAAGCAAAATATAATATAGCTCTACTTTTTTCATTAATCATTCCAAAACCGCAACAACCATGAATATTTCTAAAATCTTTTACCACTGTACCGACATGCTCATTGAAATCTCCTCTAATAAAAATGTTTTTTTCAAGAGGTATCACTTGTATTAAGTCTTCTAAGTCATTCCAGAATTTAACTTTATAACCTATATCTAAACCTACTTGAGGAGCATAAGCACTTATAATATTAAAAATCATAGTAATAATAATAATCTTAAGATCTAAAATTCTATCTCCAACTCCATTAATTTTTACAATATTATCTTTCAAAATCTTATCTATAATTACACCTACACCATTTATAGTGCAACTCTTACCTGAATACAAAATGTTAAAATCTAAGTTATCAAACTCCTTAGTCTTTTCTCCAACCCATTTAGTTTCTCAAACATATTAGATATTCTATGAATCATAATATCAATTAATTTCATTAATTTACCAGTGAGAGTACCTATATTCTAAGATACTATCCTAATATTATTTTTAGGGACTAACTTATTTACCCACATCCGTCTGTAATGCGAGAAGCCTTGCTTATTTGACACTACACCCAGACTTCAGTGTAGCGACCCTTGCACACTTTTCATTGTATTCAGACCATACAGCGCGTCGCTTCCAGGGGACGCCTTAGCACTTACACAATAATCATGTCATGATTTTTTTCGACAAATTTTACGCAGACTGTTGTCTACCTAACACAACCTTTCATTTTTTGACATCCGGGCTTGAGACCGACAATGACAGTGTTTAAGTACTAGGGCCACTAAGTGCAGTGTTTAAGTGCTAGTGTTTAAGTGCAGTGTTTAAGTGCTAGTGTTTAAGTGCGTGTTTAAGTGCTAGGCTAGTGTTTAAGTGCAGTGTTTAAGTGCTAGGACCGTCAAAACCATTCATCATTCTAACAAGAAAATTCGAAAATAAGGAGCATGAAATGACAATAATCATAAAGAACAGAGATTTGGAAAAGTTTAGTTACACTTCTACTTCTACAAGGAAGGACATAATATTTTCTACTTCTGAGCCCATCTAAGTGCTTTTTGCACCATATCAAGCCTAATCATACACTGATTCAGTATAACCAAGCCAAATTATCCTCAAATGCAACCTCTTGTTGATGGTTTAAGATTCCTAACCTACTTTAGTAGTCAACATGGTTAAGTATGACCATTTTAAACCTAAAGAACATACTCAACAACACTTCGAAATGCGGATCTTAAAATTTTAATTACAGGTAAAATATATCATATCTTAAAAAAAAATCTACAAATTTGAAATAATCAAAAGCGAAGCTTACAAGACGGAAGAAATTAAAAGTACTTATGATATTCCAAAAAAGGAAGCAATAAAAGTTATGTAATACCTCACCAAATATCATTCTCGCTAGAAAAAAGATGCAATGCAGTCCTACAAAACTAAATTACTATCCTTATTAGAAATCTCAATACCCAATCCCAAAAAGGGTTTGCAAAGGCATTGTCGTTAAACCTGCAACACACGAAAGACAATTCAGCAATCATAAATTATTTATTTCCACAAAACTAAAACAGCTTCATTCCCCCTCTTTCGACACCACCGATGAAGCATAAAACACATAACCGCTACACTCCACGACAATCGAAAGAAGAAAACATACTATCAAATATCCATAATAAAAAAATTAAGAACAGAAACCCCGGTTGTTTCTTTCAAGGGCAAGAAGAAAGAGCTAGAAAACATGAAATTACCGGACCTTGAGGGACGAGTAATGGAAGAATACCCCCAAGCTGAGCGAGACAGCCTAATCGGTTTCCCGAAGGAGGAAGCAGGCATATAGGGGCAAAGCAAGGCGGACATGATCGAAACTGAGAGTAGGCCAATCAAGTGAGTCTGCTCGCATCCTTTGGCCGAGTTCTCGTTCCGCCCTCTTCTAAAAAAATTTATTCCATCTGCGCCTGCCACGTGTACAGGCTTTAGTTAAAAAAATTTAATTTAATGCCTGATTAAAGTTCTGTTGCAAAATTACATCAAAACTCCTGAAATTTTCACATAATGACAAACTTTACTATTTAAATTACGTTTATTAACATTTTTTTTATTTTTTTTAAGGTTTTAATGTTACTTTTTTATTATTTTAATTTGAAGAGAATTCATATGCTATTCATAAAATTATGATATGATAAAATTGATTTTAGTGCATTCAATTAAAATTTTAATTTTATTTTGTCTAATTTAAAAACCACCATCATGATATTAATGAGCATTCTATATTATATTTTATATAATTTATTTATTTATTTATATTTGAGTATTTTAGGCATGAAAATGGGATATTTCTTATTTATGCATTAAAATATATATTTATAAAAATAGATTTTTTTGTAATCAATTGGCATTCCATTTGTAAACTACTTAAAGTTAGTGCATTCTAGACATGATGACTACTTATTAACATTAGCTTTCATATCGACAGTGCATTTGATTAGAAGATATATTAAGGTGTCAAGTTAATTTACATGAAAATTTTAGTATTATATGATATTATAGCGGCATATTTTATAGATATAATCTTAGTGCCTAAAATCTAAATCATATCATAAAATATGCATGAAGAGGTAAATTTCAATTAGATAATTGAATGCCACCAAATTTTTAATGCAATTTTGATATTAAAAGATTATATAAGTAGCTATAAAAAATTAGATAATAAATATATAAAGACAAACAAATTTATCTTATACATGTATTAAAATTATTTTTTTCTTAAAATAATTGCAAGCGAAAATAATATTTTCAAATCAACAGTACCTTAAATAACTCTACAACAAATTAAAACATATAACAAAATTGCTAAAGAGAAAAAAAATTTCAAAAATTCAAAATTGAGTACATGTAATTTTAGGAGTTTTGACCTAACAATCACTAAAAATATTAAATATTAAATTTTCACCACTTAAATTTTAAATATAACATTTTAACCGGTCATTATAATAAAAAAAAAACTATTAAAATATTATATTTAAAATTTGAGGGTTAAAATATTATATTTAATATTTTGATTACTTGATATGTAAAAATCCCTTAATTTATGTAGTAAATATTTAAATAATTTTTTAATATATAATTTCTCTTCCTAATATTTTGATTAGTTAAAACAATTACTTTTTAAAAACTCAAAAAAAGGAAAAACTAATCCTACCCCAAATGGCTGCTACTCTTCCTACTCTCCCCCCCTTCTCTCCTCCCTCATCCCAAAGAACTCCCCAAGGGTCTTCTCCTCCACATCCATCCTTATTCTCCCACCCCTCCTTCCTCCTCCTCCACCTCTGCTCTCATCCCAACCAAGTCTTCCAAGCTCTCACCCCCATCATCAAACACAGCCTGCTCTCCCAACCCTTCATCCAGAATAAGCTCGTCGCCCTCTTCTCCCGCTTCGGATGCATCCGCGAAGCTTCCCAGCTCTTCTCCTCCATCCCCCACAAGCCCGACGAGCTCTACCACTCTCTTCTCCACGGCCATGCCCAACATTCCCCCTTAGAAGCCTCCCTCTCCTTCTTCTCCCACATGCGGCTCGCCGGGGTTTGCCCTTCTGTCCACAGCCTAACCTATCTCCTCAAGAGCTGCGGCGATAGTTCCGATCTCAGGAGGGGTAGAGAGGTTCAGTCTCAGCTGATCTCCAATGGGTTTGGCTCCAACATCCACGCCATGACTTCAGTAGTGAACATGTATTGTAAGTGTCGTGTTGTTGAGGACGCGAGGAAGATGTTTGATAGAATGGCTGAAAAGGATTTGGTGACTTGGAATGCTTTGGTAGCTGGGTACGCTCAGAATGGACTAGCAATGGAAGCTCTGGAGTTGGTTCTGAGAATGCAGGAGTGTGGTCAGAGACCAGATTCAATCACCATCGTCTCCATGCTTCCAGCTTGTGCTGATACGGGCTCTTTGAGAACTGGGAAATCAGTTCATGGCTTCTCTGTTAGAGCTGAGTTTAACACACTTGTGAACATCTCCACCGCGCTCGTCGACATGTATTCGAAATGCGGTTCGATAAGTTCGGCGAGGTCCGTGTTCGATCGAATGCCCGTTAAAAACGTCGTCTCATGGAACTCCATGATTGTTGGATATGTAGGAAGCAATGAAGCGGAAGAAGCTCTGAAACTGTACAGGTTGTTGTTGAGAGAAGGAATCAGTCCTACTGATGTCACCATGATGGGAGTGTTGCAGGGTTGTTCCGAGCTCTGCGATTTGGAACAAGGAAGGGAAGCTCATAATCATCTGGTCAGGGTTGGATTAGGATCTGATACTTCAGTAATGAATGCTGTGATAACAATGTATTCGAAGTGCAGGAGAGCTGATCTTGCAGCAGAAGTATTTGAAAGCTTAGGGTCTAAGAGTCTTGTGTCTTGGAATGCTATGATCTTAGGGTACGCACAGAATGGCAGACCAACCGATGCTGTGGACCTCTTCTTCGACATGTCGAAGAAGAACATGAGGCCAGACTCATTCACTGTGGTCAGCCTGATTCCGGCCCTCGCTGACATATCGCTACCTCGTCAAGCTAAATGGATACACGGCTACGCCGTAAGACTCCTTCTACATCGCGACATTTTCGTCATTACAGCTCTCATCGATCTGTACGCGAAATGCGGGGCGTTGAGCTCGGCACGATCGCTCTTCGATCTGACGACGGAGCGGCATGCGACGACATGGAATGCGATGATCGACGGCTATGGAAGCCATGGATTGGGTAAGATGGCGCTGAGGATATTTGAGGAGATGAAGAGGAGTCCAGTTAAACCCAACGATGTAACATTCCTCAACATTCTCTCAGCCTGCAGCCATGCAGGGTTAGTAGATGAAGGGAAGAGGTGCTTTAGGGCTATGAAAGAGGACTACGGCTTCGAGCCTGGAATGGATCATTACGGAGCCATGGTCGACCTCTTGGGCCGCTCCGGGAGGCTCGAAGAAGCCTGGAGATTCATAGAACGGATGCTGGTCAAACCAAGCATCAGCATATACGGCGCGATGCTCGGCGCGTGTAAAATTCACAAGAATGTGCAGATCGGCGAGGCGGCGGCGAAGAGGTTGTTCGAGCTCGAGCCCGACGAAGGCGGTTACCATGTCTTGCTAGCCAACATATACGCATCAGTCGCAAAGTGGGAGGAAGTGGGTAGAGTGAGGAAGATGATGGAGAAGCTAGGGATTCAGAAGACACCAGGCTATAGCTTTATCGAATTCAATAACGAAGTGCACACATTTTACAGCGGAATGACGAATCATCCGCAGGCGAAGCAGATTTATGCGAAGATTGAAGAATTCATGGAGGAGATCAGATTGATTGGATATGTTCCAGAGAAGAATTTGGGGCATGAGGTTGAAGAAGATGTAAGGGAGACATGGCTGAACAGTCATAGTGAGAAACTGGCTATTGCTTTTGGTTTGATAAACACAAAAGCTGGAAGTGTTATACAGATTAGAAAGAATTTGAGGGTGTGTGGTGATTGTCATAATGTGACAAAGCTGATTTGCAGAGTCAGTGGGAGGGAGATTATTGTGAGGGATATGAATAGATTTCACCATTTTAAGGATGGGGAATGCTCATGTGGGGATTATTGGTAGTTTTTTATATGATTATTTCACTCATGTGGATAAATTAAGTTTTTTATGCCATTACGGTGTGTTTGGCTACAAACAAGATTTTGTGTTATTGGGATTTTTCGAGTCAACCTGGTTGTGGGCTCCGAAAATTCTGACTGCTCTCCAGAAGCATTTATTTTTATTTTTATTTTGTTTTTTTAGTGAAAATTGAGAGAGTTTTGGAGGGTTAAATTTTTTGAAGACTTATCCATAAATTTCGCCCTCATTTTACGAGGATTTATTGATCTGAGGTTCGAGCTTTCCCATGAGTGCAATCCTTATGGTTAATAACCACTCCAGATAATAAGAGATCGCTTTCGATTAAGGCTAGTAATTTAAAATTGAATATTTAACATATAATAGAAGCAGGCATATGATTCTAATTTGTAAAACCTATCACTTGAAGCATAAAGCGGATGGTGGGGAAATGAAGCCGAAACTCAATCAAGATTTCGTGACTTTGATATCTCGGGTCGTCGTGATCCCTGATCTATTTAGTCAGAAGAGACAGTCAACCCAACATAATAGAAATATTCTTGTCAACAGTCATGGTTTGCATTGTCCAAGAAATTCTTGTAGAGCTTAGGTGGTTATTTGTCTAAATGAACAAATTTAAGTTGACCTTTGCTAACAAAAAGTTTTGTATCAATCAATTGTACCATTAAGATTCACAACTCAAATGATAGAAAGTCATTGGGGGGAAGAACGGGTTGTGATCGTAATTGTAATATAATGGTTTCATTTGGCGACAAGCACCTGATCACAAGGTTTTGGCCGTAAATGCTATTTCATTATCATTTTGCGACAAAATCATGTGGACATAGAACTTTAGTTACATTCTTATTGACATGCAATTACTTTGATTGTGAATATAGGGATACATTTAATAACATTAACTCTTTGTGAGCTGAAGTCATTCAGAAAATTGTCACCCGCGAAAATTATTGTGGATGGTGGATGAATTTTACTTTAAGTCTTTAGTGATTTAATTTTAACTCGAGTGTTTTAGTTGATTATTTTGAAAATCTTGATTTAAATAATTAACCCCTCCTAGTAAAATCTTTGATCAACACGACTATCATCAGGGTGGTGTTTATATTTCAGTCCCTACAAGAAGGGATGATCAGAGTAGTTGAATGAGACTCATGACTCAATTCTATAGACAAGATGGTCTAATTAGCACACACATTCTCAAACCTAATATTTAAGCATTCAATACATTAATTTAAGCGCATGCAGACATTTAAGTTTATACAATTGCACAATTTCATGAGTTTTATATGCCTTGAGTAATTTTGATGATATTTTAAAATATAAATTTGAGGAACCTATGCAATAACTTGAAACGATTTGAATTTTGAGGCATTCATAGAGATTATTATGATCTTGGATTTATATAACTTCACATGTAGCTTAAAAATGATCATCTTCTGTTCGTTAGTAGAGACATTACAAATTCGGTGACAGGATTTTAAATTTCAAAATTTCCTAGTTTAGATTATTTTCAAGTTTACGAGCCTAAATTTAAAAACATATACTTTAAAATATTTTTAAGCTTAAAAAGCCTAAATCTCAAAAATCAAAGACTTTAAATACTTTCAAAATCCTAAAAGCTTACATTTTAAAAGCTCAAATTTTCTAATTATTTTAAAAATTCAAATTATTTTAAAATTTCAAATTATTCACATTTTATGTTATTTTATAAGTTCAAATATTCCAAAATTTTAAACTGATTACAAGTTCAAATAACCTGAAATATCTGCAGTCTCTCGCCATCAACTCTTGTAAGGAGTCACGGGAGAATGTCAGTCTTCCCATCTATCTCAAAAGACTTGTTGTACAGTGTCATAAGACACTGCGGCCGAAGAGCGGAACAAAATATATAACCCGCGATCTCAAAAGATGCAACGAACCTTCAAAATATCTGTAGAAAATGTCAAACTGCAAATCAACATTTCCTGAACAATATTTTACTTTCCTCGAACGGTACTTCATTCTCACAAATGGGTTCTCCCTTTTCCCATGGACAGGTACTTTAAAACCCCAATTTTAAAAAGATTTCTCCAAACAAGTTTAAGATTTTCCTGCACGTTACTTAATTCCTACGGACGGGTACTTTTGCTCTCCTCTAATGGAGATTTTAAAAAATGAACCTATTGCCCCCAATGAGTTCGTGTTATACCTTTTCGAATGAAGCAAGCAGTGATATTGACAGCAGCGATAACAGGGGTAACATTGTTTAAACCTTGCAATCCAAGCATCAAATCAGTCCATATAGCACTCCAATTAGTTTCAGCTAAGGACACCTCCAAACTCATAAGCATAGATCTTGACAGCTCGTCAAAGTTGGGAACCAAAACAGCAGAACACCTTTGCAATGACCTCAAAAGCCACATTAGAGCTTCATATAAATGAAAGCCGCTTCCAACTTTCAGATACACCTTCCAACCAATGTACTCGCAGAGACTTACCAATCCGGTGACCATCAGTATCAGTAAGAAAACAAAGATTGCCATTCCAAAGCCATTATCCCATCAAAATCCCATTTTCCATACGATCGATTGCATCTACCATCTTGATAAACATTCCCTAAATGTCCCATCTTATCATCCTTCGATGCATCGCTCCAGGATGTCTCATAAGGAAAATGCAACACCTTGGCTTAGTTCCTTAGCAACAACATCAAGAAGTTGTTCTGCCAATTAAATCTCTTCCAAAGTATATCTGCTAAGCTTCAGCTGTATACTAGCATAAAGAATGAAATAAGTCTTCAACCCCCACTCATGAAGCTAGAATTAATGGTAGAAGGATAGCATTAGAAATCATCTCTTATATTAAACATATTTAGACATCAATATTAATTTTACATTTACTTTATTTTTCTCAAATCTCATTAAAACATGAGGTTATTTTTTTTCAGATTCAAAACAAATGAAAGAATAATTTATGCTATAAAAAAGAAATTTATATTTGATATCACAAATATATTCATTTCACATTTATCTCAAAGTGTCAAGCCACTCATCCACCTAAGCATTCTCATCTCAGCAACACTTAGGTTGCGTTTGGTGCAGCGGTTTGGGTGTGGCACGGTGTTGCGCAGCTATATTATGCCGTTTGGCGGGGCGGTGGCTCTACGGCGGGACGCGATTTGTCCCGAAAGCGGAACGCTAATGGTAACCTGCGGCCTGGCTTCCTCGTTCGAGTTTTTACCGCAATACCCTACCCGAAACATTTCGCTCGTGAAAGAGACGAAAATCTGCGATCGAAAATCTCCTCTCCTCCTCTCTGAAGACTTCCTCCTCTCCGACTTATCTCACGCTACCCATCCGCTTCCTCGTCTTCTCACAAGCTCCCTACGCTTCGTAGGGCTTCTTCCTTCTCTTTGCACTGGTAAGAACTGTTATTTTTTAGGGTGTTTTGTTAGATGGGACAGAGGTGAATCTTTGTATTTCAACCATTTTTGATATTTGCTTAGCTTGATTGTTTTGAGTAGTTATTATAGCAGTAGGGATTTCCTGTAATTTTCCCATTTTTTCCTATAGGCTCCAGAATCTCGTATCTCATTTTTCCTCTGTTTCATGCCTGCGAGATTTACAAAAGCTAAAACTTGAGGAGGAAAGGGAAGAAGGTTTTACTAGTACGCCCGTTGTTTCTCTTGCGGACCTTTTTGGCTCTTCTGTCTTGAATATTGCAGTATTTTTTGTTCGGAATACTGTAGTTTCTACTATTGGTTCCACTGTTGATTCTATGGTTGTTTCTAATGCTGGTGTGAGATGATGTTTGTTTTGGGAGGGCTAAGAAGTGATGTAGGTACTTCAATACGTACGTAGCACACAATTCTTATATATTTGCATATTCGACTCCTAACTTTCATATTTACATATTAGCACTTCAGTGCACGAAAAAATACATATTCTTTTTTTTTATAGAAGAGGGTGGTGGTGCATTTTGATAAATATCACCCAAGTTATATGTATTTTTATATTTCACTAAAGATGGACATAATGGCCATACTTTCAGAAACAACTGCTCCACAGTTGTTTTCACACAGCTGCAAACAAACTGACAGTCAGCTTCCCCACAACAGTTTCCTGGGGCAGCGCAACTGCAGTTGCGCCAAACAGACCCTAAGTTGATTTTAGGATATTCTAGCATCTGGTCCTTCTCCTAGTACTAGATTCCTAAGTAAGAACCTCATCCTCAACATCTTCCACCTCATCTTGAACACTATCAATAGGTGCATCATGAATTTCTATTGGATCAGGTACCTGAGTAGAAATGGACAAACTCTGTGGAATAAATCAAGCTGCATTAAACTTCAACTTTTGTTGCATATTTGTTGTCCCAATAAATCTCTTCACATGCTTCGAGTCCCAAGGCTTCAACAAGCTCGCATCGTTGAATGTAATATCCTTGCAAATGACAATTCATCCCTATCTAATTATAATATTTGAAGCTTTTGACTACACGCCAGAAGCCAATGAAGAGCGAATATTCTCTAGTGGTTCCAATTTATTACTCTGCATGTGGTAGCAAGGTGGACAATCAAACACTCTCATATGCTCATAATCTCTAGTAGGATGCCCCGACTACATCTTCTTTAGGGTCTTCTTACCAATATTTGCAAGAATAAGAACAGTTATTTTTTTAAGTTGTTCTGTTAGATGGGACAAAGACGAATCTTTGTATTTCAACAATTTTTTATATTTGCTTAGGTTGATTGTTTTGCTGTAATTTTCCCATTTTTCCTATAGGCTCCAGAATCTCGTATCCCATTTTTCCTCTGTTTCATGCCTGTGAGATTTATAGAAGCTGAAATTTGAGGAGGAAAGGGAAGAAGGTTTTTCTGGTACGCCCGTTGTTTCTCTTGCGGACCCTTTTGGCTCTTTTGTCTTGAATATTGCAGTATTTTCTGTTCGGAATACTGTAGTTTCTACTATTGGTTTACTGTTGATTCTATAGCTATTTCTAATGCTGGTGTGAGATGATGTTTGTTTTGGGAGGGCTAAGAAGTGATGTAGTTACTTCAATACATACGTAGCACACAATTCTTATGTATTTGCATATTCGACACCTAACTTTCATATTTACATATTAGCACTTGAAGTGCTTTAGAAATATGCACGAAAAAATACATATTCCTTTTTTTTTATAGATGAGGGTGGGGTGCATTTAGATACATATCACTCAAGTCCTATGTATTTTTATATTTCACTAAAAAGGGATAGAATTGTCATATTTCC